CTCCTGGTGAAACTGTTTCTATATTTTCATCAGTTACACATGTATAAACATACAGGGAGTAACTCTGTGACATTGAAATCTCTATTAGTAATATAAATTAGAAATTAATATGTTCTATAATCTCTTTTTAAAAACTTACTTTTGGTGATTTGGTGATCAACCCACCTGCTGAAGATATTTAGAAGTCACACAAATTAAAGTAAAACCCATCTGAACATATAGGTAAGAAATAGCCACAGAGGAAGGTCATAGGAAGTAAATAAGGATTTGTCACCAGTTTTACATGAGATTGCAATCATGGTTGTAGAAAATACAGCTACAGAGTTGAGAGGGTAACCAGTAATTTTTTTTCAATGTTTCAGAACATCAAGGAGACAGGTTTAGAGTCAAGAGCACACACTAGGAGGAGTATATTAGAAATAAAATATTTGAGAAGTGTTTTAAGTCCTATGGGTTACTATAACAAACATGTTGAGCTGTGGTGCTTATTAACATTAGAAACCCATTTTTTTTCACAGTTCCAGATGTTCTCAAGTTCAAAGTAGATAAAACTGACATGTCTCTGCTTTCCTGTCCACTGATGGGAATATTTCCTGTCCACTGATGGGACAGAACTATTAAAAAGTAGGAGATTGTACAAGATTAAAAGAATAGTAATAAAAACTAGTGAGAAATAACTGAAATTTAAACAAACAAAAAACAAAACAAAACAAACTGAAAATGTTGTCAATTTACAAGAGGAATAAGAAAATCCAGGAAAAATGAAAACAGTATTTAAAGAAAAGTGTCATCAACCTAGAGCCCAACAATGATCACAATACTGTTTGAAAGTAAATATAAATGAGATGATTTAGGTACACAAGCAAGTAGTTTATGTCCCATACTGAAGAATGTGGTAAAAGGTGTTCATCACATACAAAGATAAAATGTTGATACTGGAACTCAGATTTGGGGAGGAACAATGAGAAGTATGAGATAAGTATGAACAATAACTCCAAAATCATTCAAATGACTTGTCCCCAACCTCTGCAAGCTCCTATATCTTATAAGGGTTTCCCATTCGGTAGGTTAGATTTTGAATGTTTTTTTTTTTTTCCTTTTTCTTTTTTCCTATTTTTTTGCATTGGAATTTGTGTTTAATCAAGTTCCCATGTGTTACCAATGTTACTACTGGGACCCAACTATGGGAACTGTCGATGAATTCTGATTATATAAAAGGCTGCATGGTTTAAATTTTTATATTAAAATCTAGGCATATATGAACAGCTTTGTGAAAATGGGTGTCACCTCTCTCCCACAGGGCAAGGTAAGGTAGTCTTGTCAATACATAATGTCTACACATGATGCAGAATCATTTGGATATTCTATAGGGGAAACATCATTTGATGCCTTCCTCATGTCATTCACTACATATGTTACCAAGAAGACTGGAGTTCTACATGTGAAAAAGAAGGATAAAACTTGTTGGTGTATTGGGGAAAAATGAAACAACAATGGGGACCTTTTCAGAGGGCCCAAAATGTTCTCAGTAAGGGGAAATTAAAACTACATTAACATCTGATAATCAAACAAAATGAAACAAAAACAAAAAGCACTACCATAGAAAGATGAGTCAAGACAAAGAGTGGGAAAAGCAAATCGAAGCTGCTTTGAGATTCCATCTTACACCTGTCAGAATGGCTAAGATGGACTAGCCAAGGGACAGCTCATTCTGGGAAATATGTGTAGTAAGAGGAACATTCATCCATTGCTGGTGGGAGTGTGAACTCACATAGGCACTGTGGCAATCAGTGTAGGAATGTGGGGATTGATCTACTTCAAGATCCAGCTATACCATTCTTGGGCATTTACCACAAGGAAGCTTCAATGATCAGAGAGGCACTTGCTCAACCATGTTCACTGTTGCTCTATTTGTATTAGCCAGAAATTGGAAACAAAATCTCGATGAGCCTCAACAGAAGAAAGGATAAAGAAAAGGTAATACATTTAAACAATACACTATTACTCAGCTATTTGCTGAATAATGAATTGCAGGCAAATTGATAGAACTAGAAAAATCATCCTGAGTGAGATAACCTAGACCCAGAAAGATGAATATGATATGTATTTGCTTATATGTGGATATTAGCTGGGAAGTCAGTGATAACCAAGCTATAATCCATAGAACCAGAGAGGATTGATACACAGTAAGGGACTAGAGGGAATAGACAGATGTTAGAAAAGTGAAGTTGAATGGATAGTTATGAATGGATGGAAAGGGTTGGAATTGTATCTAAGTTGTTGGCTGAAGGGGTCCCATGGGAACCCCCAAACAACACAGCTGTTGCCAAGATTGTATAGGTTGCTCTCCACGATCTGACAGCAGGGCCCATTTCTGCATGCACAGGGCCTGCATGGGTCTGCACCAGGTTCTTTGAGTATATATTATGGTTTGCAGTGTAGTGTTTCTATGGAACTCCTGAGTTTGGGTCTTTGGCTCTTGTGCCTTCTCTTTAGCTTGTTTCCTTCTGTTGGATTGTCTAGTGAAAGAATTCCATTTTAGAGAATGATATTAGGCAGTTGCTTTTAAAATACACATGAAAAAAATCTGTGTTTTGATTCTATTATGTTAACAAGTGAACTGCCTGTAGTTTCAGGGATGCTGGCATCAGATATGATGAAAACTCCTGGATTATCAAGCCAGCAGGCAGCATGAGCATCCACACATTAGGCCTTGGGTCCTGAGTTTCACTCCTAGAGTAAAGGTGGTATTTCTATGACCAGGAGGCACTTTTGTAGTAGTGCATCTCTAAGCTCAGAGTATTTCACAAGCTTGCTTGTCTTTTGTTCCATAAAGAGATGTTATAGTCCCATGACTATATAAAGACTTACCTTTATTGCAGGTGGAGGTACTATTGTCTCCATCTTTCAAGGCCCTTCCAAGGTTGCTGTTAATAGAAACAACTTTGAAAAGTTAGTCTGGAAAACAGATATTTAGTATCTTATTTTTTGTAAGATATGCTGAAACTCCAGAGCTGTAGAAAATTCACTTTCAATATCAGTGATGGCTCAAACCTGTTTATAAGTTTTTATGAGACAGGGGTTTCTTCCAATTTTTAGATATTGACAAAAGCAAATTTATATAGATATATTAAAATATTCATATGCATGGATTCTATATCTCTGGATTCAAAAAACAAGACTTAAAATACTTGCACAAAATTTTCTTCTTTACTAAACATATATAGACATTCCTTTTTCATCACTATTCCCTAAAGAATGCAGCATGACAACTATTTACACAGAATTTACATTGCATTCATTATCATAAGTAATATAGAGATGATTTCAAGTACATGGGAGATGTGTGTAGAATATATATACAAGTACTGTAGCATATGTATATGTAGTTCTATATATGTAAGCCTTTGCAGAGTTTGTTATCCACAGGATGTGGGAATCAATTCCCCATGTATCCCAAGGGATGTACAGTGTACATGTAAACTATACACTACAGACAGACACACCAGATACACGCATATGCACACACACACACACACCGTATCTATTTACATGACTAATTTCTCATCTCTTGCATTTAAAATGCAAACCAATGACTAGGTGTAGATTCATTCCCTTTTTCTGGTTCCTAAATTATTTCAAATGAATTTAATAATGAATGGTGTAATATGCCATACCAAACCCTTTTATTTACTATCAATACCATACTCCAGAAAACAAAAACAATGTAGTATAATTTGAGAGAGGCTAACCATCTTAAAGTGAGGCAGCTTCCCGGCTACCTCCTATCCACACAACTAGAGCACTGTCCAGAGTGGACTGCAGTAAGAGCCGGTGCACTGGGGGTTTTGAACTCAGTACTATCTCTTACACTTTGAGTCAAGCACACTGTTCTTTGAAAATTGGAAATGTTTCTTCTTTTTCTTTTAGAAAATACATTTCCAGGCTTCATAAGCTCAAGGGTTCTCTTTATTTATGATGATTCCATTGTAAAGATGCAACTCAAGGGAAAAAGCATGTCTCTAGAAGTAAACACTCTTTATTAGAGTCAAATGCCTCCCCTCTACCCCCACCCCATCCTTTGAGGATTGTGTAGGTCGGTCTTGTGGATATTGTTGATTTGCCCTCAACAGGAATTTAGCAGGGAGAGTTTACTGCTGACAACAAATCCTTATAAGTTCCCTCAAGGGAGTAAACACCAGCAGTGTGGTGAAATCTCTGTGGTCTTCCTCAAAATCGAATGGCTCTGTGTACAACAAAAGCAGAAATTACAAAATGTTTCCGTACTCTTTCTGCATGAAAATCTCTCCCTACAGGATCCAGAAAAGGTCTGTTAACCTCAGTCACTGAGCAAGAGCAGGGGCTACTCTACAGGGCACTCTGGGGTCATGCACACAAAGGGTGAGGCAGGGGCGTGGGGGAGGTTGTGAGGCAATAGCTGTCCCTCTTGGCCAGTTGAAGCCCGCCCCAGCTGGGACCTGGGGACCTGGGGACCTGGAACAGGCTAAACTTGAGGCTCCGGATAGATATTTGAATGCCTCCCAAATTGCGGTTCTACCCCTCAGAGGCAGGGAGAGGAGTGGAGTGCGTGCGCGAGTGCTTACGTCGCCTCAAGCTCTGTGCTGGGATAATCAGGAGTTGGGCTGAGCCGAGTCCTCTTTTAGCAGCAGCGGGCACAGGAGTGGGAGCAGCAGCCCCAGGGACGCGCGGGACCCATCGGCTCTGAGCGCACAGGGACAGCTGGGGCTGGCCGTGCCACCGCTTGGGCACACAAAGGTAAAGGGCTTCAGCCCTGTGGCCTGCTTCGTCCCGGCGTCGTTCCCGTCCTCTCCCTCCATCCTCTCCCGAAGGCGAAAAATGGCTGGGCCAGGCGAGGACCTGGGACAGCAGTGGTCCTAGCTCTGTCGGTCCCCACCCTTTCTGCCGACAGAGGCGGCGGGCTGTCCTTGGATGAGGTGGCAGAGACTGCTCTCTGGCGAATCCTCAGCCCGGGTAGCAGTCGCCGGTTCTCTCTGCTTGCTCCATCCCTCTGAGAGGAGTTGATGCTGGCATCACCCCCGCCACCACCACCACCTCCGCGGAAGCCGGTGCTGATGGATGCTGGGGAGTGCCGCATTGCTTAGCGTCCCCGCCTCCGGGTTTGCTGGTAGGAGCTGGCTGCTCTTTCTTCTTTCTGGCTTTGGGGGCGGCGGGGGGGGGGTTGTTATAGCAAAGATAGAGATATTTTTATTTCATTCTCTACAACTCCCTGCACCCACCCTGGTTTTGACATGTATGCTCCCAAAGAGGTCTCCTCTTGTCCTTATCCTCACCCTCCAGTCCCTTGCCAAGTCCCCTGAAATAAAGGGATGGACTAGGCAGAAGTTGGGGGCGGGGGTGGGGGAGCCCACGCCCGTGTCAACCGGCACCCAAAACCCAGCTGGAACCTTATGAGATCACAGTGTGTGGAAGAGGGGCGGAGGAAGGGTGCACACTCTCTGCAGTCTCCCCTAATTGGATCATAATAACCTAAAGTAAAAATCGCCCAAAGATATCCTGTAAAAATAGCATCCTTGGATAAGCAGAGGGATAAATGAGCTCCCTTCCCTTCCTTTCTCTCCTTTTCTTTCTGCTAAAGACTCCCTCCCCGCCCTGGAGCTCTGCACTGAAGAGCCACCTTATTATTAATCAGAATTCCCGTCTTTATCCGTGGCAGGCACATCCTTCAGCAGGGACCGCAGCAGCAATACAGTGCTGGGGCTGAGATGTGCGTGGGGGCTGTTTTCCCTACATCTTGCAAGACAAGAGAAGAAGACGGGAACCAAGACCCGAAGCGCCCATGCTGAGTAGAATTAGGCGTTCTTTCTTTCTCTTTCTTTCTTGTTTTGTAATTCAGAGAGACAAGAGGTAGGTTTGCAAGGCCTGCCCAGAGGCTTGCTTCTAATGGGAGGCATTGTTTTTAGGGGTCTGGGGTTAGAAGTTTAGATACTCTCCAGAAAAACTGTGGGAAAAAGCAGGAGCAACAGGGTACTTGACTGAACACTGAGAGGAACCATTTCCTGTACCGGAAACGAGGCAGACAGCAGCTAGGAGAACTGGGGGCTGGAGTGTGGTGTGGAGGTGGCAAGGGCCAGGTGTGTTGTTGGACACACAAGGAGAGCTTCAGAGAGGACAGCTTGGGTACAGGGGAACAATGACTCATTTGCAAGCTGGTCTCTCTCCTGAGACCCTGGAGAAAGCTCGGCTGGAACTCAATGAGAACCCAGATACTCTGCACCAGGACATCCAGGAGGTGAGGGACATGGTCATCACTAGGCCAGACATTGGCTTTCTGCGCACGGATGACGCTTTCATCTTACGCTTCTTGCGGGCCAGGAAGTTTCATCACTTTGAAGCTTTCCGCCTCTTGGCCCAGTACTTTGAGTACCGGCAGCAGAACCTGGATATGTTCAAAAGCTTCAAGGCTACTGACCCTGGCATCAAGCAGGCACTGAAGGATGGCTTTCCTGGGGGCCTGGCCAACCTGGACCACTATGGGAGGAAGATTCTAGTGCTTTTTGCTGCCAACTGGGACCAGAGCAGGTAAATCCTAAGTCCAAATTTTACTTTTGATATTTTTTACCCCTCTATTTTTCTAGAGTTTACTCTGAGAAGTTTTGGAGTGCTGCAACTTCCATGGTTTTGGTTATTTGGCTGGAGGTAAAGGAAAAACGGGACTGAGAGATGAGCCTCGGGTTGGCTCCCCGGGTACAGCTTGTATTCTTTTAAAACTTCCTTCTCTGACACAGTTTCTATTGTGGCTTTATGTGTTCCCAAACCACATTAATATGCTGAGAACTAAATCATGAAAGTACAAAATAGAACGTATATACTTTTGGCTTCTAAATCCAGATGCTTAATAATGTGGAGAAAAGGGGAGAAAACCGAGACAACTTTTTCCTTCTTCTTCCTCAAGAAATTCTTAAAGTCGGCCCATTATCATCATTGCCATAATCGCCTTTCTCTCTCTCGCTAGTACTGACATTTTATCTCCCCCAAATAGCCTCGTGCTTGGGAACTTTCTGTGTGGTGATGTGTAGAAGAAGGCATAATATGATATGTGTCACTTCAATGAGAAGGAAGAGTTGTTCCCTCTGTCTCTGAGCATGCTTAGTGACACTGAAAATAAAGCCTGACTGGCGTTCGTGTTCTACACCTGTCACTAATCTGAAGAACATGCTTCCTGTCTGATGTGATTGTTCATCTTTAGAAGTGGGAAACTTAAAAATACATCAACTGGTAAACTCTGAGCTCGGGTGCTGTTTAGTAGAAGAAAAATAATACTTATTTCCTCTACTATAGAAAAATGCTCACAGTGATGTTTGTATGTCCTTCATCATAATTATTTTGTCAGATTGAAAGACATAAAACTTATAAGAGGCTCTTGGGTAAGGTAATTTCCAGAAAATACAAAGTTAAATATATTTTATAGCATTTATGAAACCAGTTGTTAAAGCATTTGGTGTCTTTACTTCTGTGAATGGTGACTTTGGATACATCTGGATAGTTTAAACTATTTCTGGAGCAATGTAAATGACGTCTGCAGTTAAAGAGAAATCCAATAGCTCCAACAGATTCCCCTACAGACTTCTGAGAGCATCATTAGTATGTTAAAATGTAAATGGATATTTTAATAGTTTTTTCCCTTTTAATTGGCCATGTTTTCCTGAAATTTCAGGTTGAAAGGTTCTACTGATATTCTTTCTTAGTAAATACGAAGATTAACTGTTATCTGGAGACTCACAGAGTTTAGGAACTTACAAACAGGATTAGCCATAAGATGGGTTGGAGCCCCTAGCTTGGTTAGGTCCTGTGGATCTTACATTGACTTTTTTTTTTGTGGGGGAGGGGTAAGGTAGGAAACTTGAAAGGACTATGAAATAGCACCTATTGACTACATGTTTTCTTTGAGTGACTTTTTAGATGGAAGAAGTTCACTATAGAGTTATAAAAATGATTTTCGTCTATCAAAATATAAAAATGAAATTGACACAAAACCTCATATTACTTATATCAGCTAGATTGGAAAAGTAGTCACTGAGCTATGGTATTATGCTATTTTGAACCATAGTGATCTACAGACATTTTATACTTAAATATGTTTTGAATCTGTTTGAAGTCTATAGAAAGGTAGGTTTCACACACATACACACAAGCACACACACACAATTGTTTTTTTCTGTAAGTGAACGAATATTATTCACACTTTATAAACCATACCTAAGTGAATGTTACTTACAGTTCTCATGTGTGTAGGAAGGATTATTGGTACTACAGGAAATAGAATGTGTTTTAGTTGCTTATCCCATGCATTAAAGTAAAAGACAGGCTATTAGTCATCAAAACTCTCCCTGGAAATCTACAGTGGGAAGGAATTTATTGATTGACATGTAGATTTACTTCCAATAAGCCAATACAAGATAATAAGTAATAATAAATGCTTGTGTAGTTAAAATTAAAAGTGAGAAGCCAAATGTTATAGTCACTACTGTCAGGGTCTATGCTGTAGTAACAGGGTATAATTTCTATGATGGGGGAGGGTACTTTTCATCCAGAAGGCACAGTACATCAACAGGGAAAGGATAAATCTCTTTTAGGGACTGTCTAAATTTCAGCTATTTTGTCCTTTTTTACTCATAAAGTAAAATACTCACAAAATAGATCCATCAATGTATACTGAGGGTCAGGGACACAGATAAAGAGTTCTGAATCTTGGCATCCTCTGGAAACCTTCATCTTCAGGATATGTGCTAAAACAGTGCTGTAATCTCTGCCCTGAAAGGAGGGAAATCTGTCTCCCCAGCCCGTCTCAGTCTGGATTTCCTCTTTCAGGCCTAAATTTTGTGGCTCATCTTGTTGTCTCCCATAGAAGTCTCTGTTACCCTCTTTGCATGATTGCATGATGCTTTGATAATAGTGCTCTGTTGGGTGTACATAGTACATGCCACCTTCTCCTATTCCCCATCCCTCTCCTGGGTGATTCAGATACTCTTTCCTCTCTGTCATCTTGACAGTCTCCAAATCACCCGAGTTTAAGAAGACTGAGTTGAAGAGCTATTTTAAAAAGCAATGCTGTTTTAAGGAAGGAATATTATACAAAGAAATTTCAGAAATTGAGAAAAATCTCCAACCCACATAATTTAAGGGAAACGGATTTATATACAATTTTCCAAGTACAAAGATAAGGGGAAAATATATAAATTTCAGGAGAAGAAGCCAAGTCCATGGAAAGTTAATCTTGTAACAAAAGAACCTGAATTAGAGTAGAGAGACCCGGAAGGAATCGGAGCTGAAAAAAAGTTACACAGTTCTTACCAAAAATTCTAAGTGAGAACTTTATCTGTGATGAGTTTTTTCCTGTATTGAGTGAAGTAGAAAAATTCCAAGGTTCCCCAGGATACAGGACCTTTAAGTGTATGTGAGAGGAAAGCATAAATAAAATAGTGACCTTTTTCTACTGAGATGCTGAACAAGTTAGTCTGGACTTATTATAAAGAGCTAAAGCATTTCTAAAAACTATCTGAGATGCGGAGTCATTAAGAAGATTATGCAAAGCACAATATTTGCAGTGTAACTACTTTTATAATGGATCCAATGCAACTCAAAATTCTAAAATGCCAAAGTGACTTTTGCTTTGGTCCTGCAGTTCTTGTAAAAGAGACTGGAACAGCCTCAGCGGACATGCATCCCATCGCTCAGGCTATACCTGGGAAGAATCACACGAATTTGCTTCCTTCCTTTTAGATAATCTAACACAGTATTTGAAAATAGAAGTAAACACGAGAAAATGATAACCATTTTGATAGCCATGCTGCACCATTAAGCTACCGTAATTGTTCCTTGGCCCCAGATATCACATGTTTCCTTTGCTTCCTCAGGGATAGTGCCTCACTTAAGACTAGTCAATAGCCTAGGGATAATGGTCCACAGAGCTACAAGAGACAGCGTCTTGTACAAAGAAAGCTCAGAATGAAAAGGGAAAGCAACTTAGCCCTCCAACCACTAGAGCAAATATCTGAGAAGTTAGAATCCATAGATAAAAGCCGTGGAGATGACTCAGTGTGTGGAAGCACTAGCCACAAAAGCATGGTCACTTAAGTTCAAATTCCAGAATATGATACAGGGGAATCCTCAGAAGCTCAGGGGTCAGCTTTGTGTACAGGGCAGAGAAACTACAGAAACCCTGCTTCAAACAAGATGGAAGATGAGTCAGACTGAGAACCAAAGGTTGTCAACCCTGACCTCTACTTATGGCTGTACAGTGAACATCTCGCAATCATGTACACAGAGGTGGGGATACTCCATGGATGGACAAGTAATTATTACTGGAGGTATTCTTGAATGAAATTTTGTTATATGAAATATATGATGACATATTTGGAGTTGGCTTGTGTATTGTCAATTAGCCCACTATTTATACTTTGGTAGATCACAGCAGGCTTACAGAGTTGTTCTTTACATTAAACAGTCATTTATCTGGAACCTCACTGATAGCCATTAGAAAACAATTATATGTAAGTAACTATAGTTAAAACAGTTCTTATAATGGTGGTAATTCAGAGTATGCTAACCATCGTGCTCCTGTCACAGTGACTGACTATCACATACAGTATTAAAGTTCTGAAGTGGCAGAAAGTGTTTAGATACGACTGTGGTCCTCCAAATTATCCAGAAATTTGCCTATTACTGTTGCATATGTTTTGGTATTGTATAGTTTTTTCCTTTTTTTTAAGAAAAGAAACCATGTGAATGGATAGTTATTTGTGGCTTCTCTTCAAATTATGAACACGCTCCTATGCTCCTATTTCTCCAAATGGTGTGGTAAACATTCAAAAGAAACGCAAATTTCTCAGTCACCTAATGCCTCAGAAACAGCCGCAGAGCATAACGGTTTGAGTTAGTGTCAGGTCCAATGATTTAGTCTTCCTTAAAGGGCTCTACAAGATGTAAAAGTAAAAGTAAAAGAAAAATGACTAAGTATAGATTGAAATAGTCATGGACAATTAGCCAGAGAAGTAGGAAGATGCTTATAGAAATCTTTAAAAAAGGTCCACTTGTTTGGTCTGATTTTAAAAGGCTTCCTTTCTCAGCTTATTGAATTTTTTTTTTTCACTGAGACATTATTGTCATGAGCAGTGCAGACCAGGTACCTTCATAAGCTCAAGGGCACTGCTGTGTGCTGTTATGGGTGGGTTTTGATTAGGGTGAAGCTAACAATGGCTGATGGGTATTGCATGGGATTTCTGTCCCAGAAAAACTTCCATAACTGCAAGGAAGTTCTCTCAATAGCATTCTAGAGACAGCAACTGATGACAAGTAAAGTACAAACCATGGAAAACTAAAAGTGATATAAAAAGCCATCTTGGGAAATGGTAAAGGGATACAGCGACAGATTCCTGAAAAAAAAAAAAATAGGACAGCCTCTTAAAACTGGGCCAATTATTTAGCAACTAGTGAAATAATACTAAAATAGCAGCAAAAATGAGAAGCAACTCTTGCTAGGATGCTGACTAGGTTTGGTCCATGCTGTTCCCATGTTACAA